CTTGCGTACATGCCTGTCGTATTTAAATGTGTCTGTTGCAATGGATAGACAGTCCTCTGCATAGCTTTGTGTTCAATCAGATACCGTTGGAGGTGATCATTTCTTGTTTCTGCAGCAGTTTAAATAATAGTTCTCTCTATAGTATTTGGCCCAGCTGTCTCACCTCTCCTGGTCTCCTCTCCTGGTCACCTCTCACTTCTCCTGGTCACCTCTCACCGCTCCTGGTCACCTCACCTCTCCTGGTCACCTCTCACGGTCACCTCTCACCTCTTCTGGTCACCTATCCTGGTCACCTATCACCTCTCCTGGTCACAGCTATCCTCTCACGGTGACCTCTCACCTCTCCAGGTCACCTCTCCTGTTAACCTCTCCTGGTCAACTCTCTCTCTCCTGGTCAACTCTCCTCTCCTGGTAACCTCTCCTGGTCACCGCTAACCTCTAACGGTCACCTCTCACTTCTCCTGGTCACCTCTCACTTCTCCTGGTCACCTCTCACTTCTCCTGGTCACCTCTCACCTCTCCTGGTCACCTCTCACCTCTGCTGGTCACCTCTCCTGGTCACCTCTCACCTCTCCTGGTCACCTCTCACCTCTCCTGGTCACCTCTCACCTCTCCTGGTCACCTCTCCTGGTCACCTCTCACCTCTGCTGGTCACCTCTCCTGGTCACCTCTCACCTCTCCTGGTCACCTCTCACCTCTCCTGGTCACCTCTCACCTCTCCTGGTCACCTCTCACCTCTCCTGGTCACCTCTCCTGGTCACCGGTCACCTCTCCTGGTCACCTCTCACCTCTCCTGGTCACCTCTCCTGGTCACCTCTCTCACTGGAGGACAGGCAGCTTGTCAAGCTCTAAGACACTGGAGCAGAGTGTGAATTGTTGATAATATTGATAATTTGACTGAGACTCTCGCCGACAGCGAGACACATCAATATCAACATATATAGCCTCCCTACTGTCACTTTATTTTACTTCTGCTCTTTTTTTTCTCAACACTTTTTTTTGTTGTTGTTTTAATTTTACTTTTAATAAATGCACTGTTGGTTAAGGGCTGTAAGTAAGCATTTCACTGTAATGTCTGCACCTGTTGTATTCGGCGCATGTGACCAATAAAATTTGATTTGATTTGAAAGCATCAGAGTGAGCGAAACAGCGCCCCCTCTGTCTCAGGATGTGTAGCCCGTCTATCTGATGCTGTCTGAGCAAAAAGAGTAAACATTATTTCGTGTTGTTTCCTTTTTTTTTTTTTTTATTGTTCAAATTTTTTGGGGGGAAGCATGGCTTCCTTTGGCATCCATGAATACACTCCACTGTAGTAGCCAAATGTCATTACACTTTATGGTGTTTTTGTAACAGATGTGTGCAGCCGCAGGTAGACAACTTTTTAAAGTGATTTTGTTCGACAATCAGATAGTTGTGTTCATGACATATTAAAATGTCATACATTTTTTTAAATGATTTTTATTTGATAATTCAGACCAGCCGCAAGGCAATACTCAACACACTTAAAGAAAGAAAGAAAGAAAGAAAGGAAAATGGCCTCTGGTTTTAGCTAGTCTTGATGTCTGGACTGTTGAATGGAATGTTAAAAAATTATAATAATCTAAACAGATCTGGAAAGAGTCAAGAATCCTGTGAAACAACGCACTCCCCTGGTCATAACATCACCACAACGATAGAGTCCAGAGGGGCAGAGGATAGTGGAGGTGCCGAATACTATGTGTGCATCCCAAATGGCACCCTATCCCTATTGTGCATTACTTTTGACCAGGGCCCATAGGGTTCTGGTCAAACGTAGTGCACTATATAGGGAAATAGGGTGCCATTTGGTACACACGCTATAAATACAATGGTATAAGGAAGGTAAATGAGAATAGTTTCCAAATGTGAAGAAACTTGCAAGTTCTGCCATCCTCCCCAAACACACCTCAGTTACGAATTTATATTTGTAACTTTTGCCCCTTTTTGTAATTTCTCAAGGTGTTTTGGGTTTACTTTTTGCTGATTCTGTTTTTCCAATCGTTGTGTACATTAAAGTTTAGACTTTTTTGCTTTTCTCACTGTAAATTACAATGCCACTGTATTTGACACAGGAGAGTGACAGATATATGGCTTGTATTGTATAGCCTGAATCTATGGCTCTGGTCCGCAGCATGTAAATAAAAAATAAAAAAATAGAATGAAGAGCTTGATGATTATTATTGTAATTCCAGAGTTGGTGGTGATGAATAAATACGTTTATTATTATTATTATTATTATTATTATTATTATAAGTTTAGAGTTGGAAGAGTGATGAGGATGCCTTCAAAGCCAGTATTGTGGGACTCAGTGGCGGTCGGTGCCGTTTAAGATTAGGGAGGACAATTATTTTTTGGGGGGGGAGCATGGCCTTATTTCTATTACAGCATAATGGATGACTCTCATTCATATTCCATTCACACAGCTCAATGTAACATCGATAGGTTTAGGCTACTACATGAATGTTCCCTGTACCCATCATGAGGTTGCTACAACCTAGCCTATGAATGAAAGTTTACAACGTAGGTGCACAGGTCCGAAAGACAAACTGGAGTAATCAAGGTGACAGACAGTGACACATTCAATACTGCCTTGCACACTCTTACCTGCATCTAGCTGATCTGCAGTGTAACGAGAGTTTCTGTTGGACAAATTCAGGTAGGTCCCTCCCCGTTTCGTTCCGCTCGCTTCCGTTTAAGAAACGTTTTTGCTACAGAATCTGCGGAATGAATACACCCCTGATCATCCGCGCACACAGTTCACTTTCATAGCAGCCACCTAAAGCATCATCACTTTGCTCTTTGTATAATTCCTTCTCACATCTACGTGCTCTCCTCCTCTCACCTTTTCCCTTCGCTTGTGGACTTCAGCTGTCTGTGACCAGGCGCAAAAACCCTCTCCAAGCCAAACCTTCATACCATAACCGCTAACCGCTACACACAGCCTACATCGTTGTCACCGTAGTAATGTTATAGTCAACAAACTAGAACTAACGCGTTAGTAAACCCACAATCCAATCCATGTGTACGATCACGCAGCACAGTGTACAGCAAGCAGTTTAGCAGTAACACCTGCAGGCCTTGTTGGCAATAAATTAATAAAACTGAAAGCTTACCTTGACTTGGAAGAGTTTCAGTGTTGGATAGCCTTAGCCAGCTAGCTAACATAAATAGCATTCCTCTGTTTGAGTCAGGTTGTTGAGTAGGCTATATTAGCTAAGTATGTGAAAGGTAAACTAAGAAAAATAAGAAATTTGTTCAAAACTGTTAAACTATTGTCTTTCTCTCTCTTTGAGTCAACTGCTCACCACATTTTATACACTGCAGTGCTAGCTAGCTGTAGCTTATGCTTTTAGTACTAGATTCATTCTCTGATCCTTTGATTGGGTGGACAACATGTCAGTTCATGCTGCAAGAGCTCTGATAGGTTGGAGGATGTCCTCCGGAAGTCGTCATAATTACTGTGTAAGTCTATGAAAGGGGGCGAGAACCATGAGCCTCCTAGGTTTTGTATTGAAGTCAATGTACACAGAGGAGGACGGAAACTAGCTGTCCTCTGGCTACACCATGGTGCTACCCTACAGAGTGCTGTTGAGGCTACTGTAGACCTTCATTGTAAAACAGTGTGTTTTAATCAGTTATTTGTTGACATGAATATATTTATTATAGATGTATCTAAAAATGATAACTTTTTTAGTGTTTCACTATAAAAAAAAAAATCACTTAGTAGGATGGTCCTCCCCTTATTCCTCTGAGGAGCCTCCACTGGTAGGACTAGAGTATTTCAAAGACGTTGATGCCTTCTTGCCTGTGTAGACAGTAGTCATACAAGCCATTGTTAAAATGTTATGCTTTTTTTTTATATTCTATTGTGGCTGTGTGCTCTTACACTTTTTGGATTTGGAAAATAGAAGAATAAATGTTTATTGTAATGTCATTGGTATGTGGTCCTCTGTAGCTCAGCTGGTAGAGCACAGCGCTTGTGGGTTCGATCCCCGGGACCACCCATACACAAAAAATGTATGCACGCATGACTGTAAGTCGCTTTGGATAAAAGCGTCTGCTAAATGGCATATTATATTATTATAGTTACACTGCACACCTCATCATTTCCTGCAGTACTCACTTCTTTCACATGGGGGCGAAATACTCCCAGCAATACCTGCCCTTCTATTTATTTATTTTATTTTTTTGTCATTTAGCAGACGCTCACACCTGCCTATTCCATTCTACTCTATTCCATTCTAATACGTTCTATTCCATTCTAATACGTTCTATTCCATTCTAATACGTTCTATTCCATTCTAATACGTTCTATTCCATTCTAATACGTTCTATTCCATTCTAATACGTTCTATTCCATTCGAATAAATTATAATCCATTCTACTCTATTCCATTCTAATACGTTCTATTCCATTCTAATACGTTCTCTACTATTCCATTCTAATACGTTCTATTCCATTCGAATAAATTATAATCCATTCTACTCTATTCCATTCTATTCTATGGTTTATCAATATTTACTACATCTCAATATTAGGGGACATTCCTACAGGACTGAAGTAAAACAGGCTGGCCTACTCAACAAGCTTTAAAAGTCCTGGAAAATGCCTATGGAATGAAATCGAAATGTGATATGGGAACACACCTTATTGACAGGGAAAGCTGCTGCCGCTGGTCTCTCTCTCTTCTTTTCTTATTCTTTCTCGCTCTGACTAAAGACAACGCCTTCTTCCGTTTCTGAAGTTTAACAAGGTTAAGTCACCTGGGCAGGGGAGAAAGGAATAGTCTAATGGAAGTTGTATCACAACGCTGAGTAGACTACAAACATATTTTTTATTACTTATCATGTACGCCAGTATTGATTAAATGTTCGTTATTGAATATAGCTTACTGTCTTGAGACGGAGAAAGGGCAAGGTAAAAGTGTCTCATAGTTCCGGGTTTGGGGACATTTTCCCGAGTATTGGAATAATTTGGGAAACATGGACATTATCGAGTTACAACCGGTTCAGCGGTCTGGAAGTCTTGACAACAACAATCACCATGCTGAAAATACCGCCAAGCAACAGGTGAGTTTAAATCGAATCGATGAATGCTATATTCGTCAATAGAAAGAAAAGGGTAGGCTGTTATTGAAAGTGGAGTCGCCTCAGGTGTAGTCTAAGTCAACCTTGTTCACCACGCTCGGCTTCAGAGCACAACGCAGCTTTTACAATACGCACAAAGTCCAATATGTTTTATTGCAGACAGACATTCGGGGCGTTTCTTGATTTGGGCGTTCCTCGATATCAGGAAACGCCCATTGGTGCCTGCCATTGGTCAGTCCATTGATAACTGCCGTTGGTCAGTTCAGGTTTTATGTTACTGATGGTTTGTACCATTGTGGCTACTATTAAAGCCCCATCTAGTTGTCGCATCATGGATAACAGTTGTTGACAGCAGTAGCTAAGCCTAACCCTTTTTCTAACCTTAACCTCAGTCTCCTAACCTGCCACATTAGTTATCCTAACCCAAAACGTTAATTCTCCTAACCTGCCACGTTAGTTCTCCTAACCTGCCACGTGAGTTCTCCTAACCTGCCACGTGAGTTCTCCTAACCTGCCACGTGAGTTCTCCTAACCTGCCACGTTAGTTCTCCTAACCTGCCACGTGAGTTATCCTAACCTGCCACGTGAGTTCTCCTAACCTGCCACGTGAGTTCTCCTAACCTGCCACGTTAGTTCTCCTAACCTGCCACGTTAATTCTCCTAACCTGCCACGTATGTTCTCCTAACTTGCCACGTAAGTTCTCCTAACCTGCCACGTTAGTTCTCCTAACCTGCCACGTTAATTCTCCTAACCTGCCACGTTAATTCTCCTAACCTGCCACGTTAGTTCTCCTAACCTGCCACATTAGTTCTCCCAACCTGCTATGTAAACAAACCACCAACCCCATCAGTATCACCACACCAGTGTTATGAGACTAATGGTTTCTCGACACAAATGATTTGATTACATAGCAGGTTAGGATAACAAACGTAGCAGGTTAGGATAACAAACGTGGCAGGTTAGGATAATTAAAGTGGCAGGTTAGGTGAATTAGCATGGCAGGTTAGGAGAATGAGGTTAAGGTTAGGAAAAGGGAGAGACTGTTGTCCCCGATCCGAAAGAAACAGCCACAGACCAATAGCGAGCATCAATGGGTGTAACTTGACATCGAGAAACGCCGATATCAGAAAACGCCCCTAAGTGCAGTCTGCAATTACACCCTTCTCCAAAAGACGGTGGAAATGTGCCCTAAATAAGACGCTGTCCCACAGGGTGGCTGCGATGCGGACGCCGGGAAATATTGGGTGAACATTTTTAGGGGGTGTGCTTGTTTCCGAAAATCCTGTTACCTGCCACGTATCTATAATCGGATTGTATAATGTCCTATATAGGTCTAAGTAAAAAAATATAATTAACAGAATAACTTGAGGGTTCTATAGCATTGAAAAATGGACTTGTCTGCTTCGCAGCATTCAGAGACAGGATGTCAGGGCAGGCAATGCATTTGACAATAATTAAAATAATGAATTTATCTGAACTTTTTTTTTTATTCTCAGCTCCCACCACATCATACTGTATTTTGCCCAGTAACAACCTTGGTTGCTTCTGCATGCCCACGGCGATTGCTCCACAGTGTCATAATGTCATTGATTGTTACCACAGACTTACCAGACTCATTCATTTGGCCATGACCAGAGAACATTCTTGCAGAAACGCAGTTGTGTTTCAGTCGGAACATGCAGACAGGTGGACAAACATTTGATTTGGCTTCTGCATGTCATTCAGAGAGTGTAATAAAAAAACTGGGCTACTGTAAACTGCCTTTCACATATCCTTTAAGCACCTCCTTTATTTAGGCAGAACAGTCAATAGAATACTGACTGAACAAGTATTCTATTAGAATGTTTGTATAATTCCATATTCCATATTGCAGGGGACTTCAGATAATAGACGCAGGCTGACCACCAATGATGCAGCAGAGGAAGAAAAGCCCTTGCTTTCTCCTGAACAGGTGGGTCATCACTGCCATTTGGTGGCTGAATTATTTTCTCCCTCAACAGCACAGTGGCCCTTTTATATACAGTACAGGGAATACATGGCTGGCCTACTGTTGAAAGGACTACTGTCTAATTGTAACAATTGCAAATACAGTTGAAGTCGGAAGTTTACGTACACTTAGGCTGGAGTCATTAAAACTCGTTTTTTCAACCACTCCACAAATTTATTTTTAACAAACTATAGTTTTGGCAAGTCGGTTAGGACATCTACTTTGTGCATGACACAAGTTATTTTTCTAACAATTGTTTACAGACAGATTATTTCACTTATAATTCACTGTATCACAATTCCAGTGAGTCAGAAGTTTACATACACTAAGTTGACTGTGCCTTTAAACAGCTTGGAAAATTTAGAAGCTTCTGATAGGCTAATTGACATCATTTGAGTCAATTGGAGGTGTACCTGTGGATGTATTTCAAAGCCTACCTTCAAACTCAGTGCCTCTTTGCTTGGCATCATGGGAAAATCAAAATAAATCAGCCAAGACCTGTAGACCTCCACAAGTCTGATTCATCCTTGGGAGCAATTTCCAAACGCCTGAAGGTACCACGTTCATCTGTACAAACAATAGTACGCAAGTATAAACACCATGGGACCACGCAGCCGTCATACCGCTCAGGAAGGAGACGCGTTCTGTCTCCTAGAGATGAACGTACTTTGGTGCGAAAAGTGCAAACCAATCCCAGAACAACAGCAAAGGACCTTGTGAAGATGCTGGAGGAAACAGGTACAAAATAATCTATATCCACAGTAAAACGAGTCCTATATCGACATAACCTGAAAGGCCGCTCAGCAAGGAAGAAGCCACTACTTTATCTAACCTTTATTTAACTAGGCAAGTCAGTTAAGAGCAAATTCTTATTTACAATGACGGCCTACACCGGCCAAACCCGGACGACGCTGGGCCAATTGTGCGCCGCCCTATGGGACTCCCAATCACGGCCGGTTGTGATACAGCCTGGAATCGAACCAGGGGGTCTGTAGTGACGCCTCAAGCACTGAGATGCAGTGCCTTAGACCGCTGCAGTTTGCAACTGCACATGGGGACAAAGATTGTACTTTTTGGAGAAATGTCCTCTGATCTGATGAAGCAAAAATAGAACTGTTTGGCCATAATGACCATCGTTATGTTTGGAGGAAAAAGGGGAACGCTTGCAAGCCGAAGAACACCATCCCAACCGTGAAGCACGGGGGTGGCAGCATCATGCTGTGGGGGTGCTTTGCTGCAGGAGGGACTGGTGCACTTCACAAAATCGATGGCATCATGAGGAAGGAAAATGATGTGGATATATTGAAGCAACATCAGTCAGGAAGTTAAAGCTTGGTCACAAATGGGCTCTTCCAAATGGACAATGACCCCAAGCATACTTCCAAAGATGTGGCAAAATGGCTTAAGGTCAACAAAGTCAAGGTATTGGAGTGGCCATCACAAAGCCCTGACCTCAATCCTATAGAAAATTTGTGGGCAGAACTGAAAAAGCGTGTGCGAGCAAGCAGGCCTACAAACCTGACTCAGTTACACCAGCTCTGTCAGGAGGAATGGGCCAAAATTCACCCAACTTATTGTGGGAAGTTTGTGGAAGGCTACCCGAAACGTTTGACCCAAGTTAAACAATTTTAAAGGCAATGCTACCAAATACTAATTGAGTGTATGTAAACTTCTGACCCACTGGGGATGTGATGAAAGAAATAAAAGCTGAAATAAATCATTCTCTCTACTATTATTCTGACATTTCACATTCTTAAAATAAAGTGGTGATCCTAACTGACCTAAGACAGGGGATTTTTACTAGGATTAAATGTCAGGAATTGTGAAAAACTGAGTTTAAATGTATTTGGCTAAGGTGTATGTTAACTTCCGACTTCAACTGTATGTGGTTTATTATTGCTTTAAGAATTAGGAACAAGGGCCACTAGCCTTGATCCTACCACAACCACACATCCAGACTGTCATAAGTGTCATTGTAACAGAAACAGGACAGTACATAATCAGCCAAGGGGGCGTCAGGGAAGTGGCACTTGACTAAAGGAGCATCTGACTTTGACCAGCGACAGAAAGAAAGTGAAAATGAATTTTTTCATTGTACGTGATCGCACAGACAGACAGACAGAGAGACAGACAGACAGACAGACAGACAGACAGACACAGACAGACAACAGGTTCAACTGCTTCCACCACCCTGATGAAGGTGAGTGATTAGCAGTGAAACACAATATAATATCTGAAGTGTCGTTGTGAAGGAACTAGGTTTCAAAGTTGAACAAGGAGCAGATCAGGTTTCCCATTCAGGGTTAAGCTGGGTTGGCTTGCAACAACATCTTGATATTATGATATAACATTCAGGGAAAGACAATAACCCTGTCTCCACATCATTGTTTAGTATTGGGAGGAAACTGACGTGTGTGGTGTGTTCTCAGGTTCCTGTTGGTAATGGCGGGCAGCATCATGTTGATGGAGCAGGGGTCAACCAAGATTCCATCTCTCTCAACATACAGAACAACATCGGCAACAAGGAAATGGTACTTGTATTAATTACAAAGTGTCACAGCTTTCATGTCTCTCTGGTCATGATTGAATCCAGGATCTTTGATTGTAAGATTGTGCTTTGATTCAAATCCAAAGTGTTAAAATCTAATGGGTGATGTTGGTGGCTGATGTAACTCTGAGAAATATTCACATTATCAAGCCACTTCTTACAGTGCTAAGGAAGTGGTGACATACATGTATGTGTCTGTCTGTGAAGAATTCCAGTCACAGAATTCTCAGCATGCATTGTTGTATCTGTTCTTCACCAGACTGTGGTTGGCTTCCATCTTGTCTTTGACACAGTTAGGTAGCAGTTAACAGAAGGTAACAGCTATGAAGGAGACCCCATTCTGTCTCCTAGAGATGAATGTACTTTGGTGCGAAAAGTGCAAATCAATCCCAGAACAACAGCAAAGGACCTTGTGAAGATGCTGGAGGAAACAGGTACAAAAGTATCTATATCCACAGTAAAACGAGTCCTATATCGACATAACCTGAAAGGCCGCTCAGCAAGGAAGAAGCCACTGCTCCAAAACCGCCATAAAAAAGCCAGACTACGGTTTGCAACTGCACATGGGGACAAAGATCGTACTTTTTGGAGAAATGTCCTCTGGTCTGATGAAACAAAAATATCACTGTTTGGCCATAATGACCATCGTTATGTTTGGAGGAAAAAGGGGTTGGCTTGCAAGCCGAAGAACACCATCCCAACCGTGAAGCACGGGGGTGGCAGCATCATGCTGTGGGGGTGCTTTGCTGCAGGAGGGACTGGTGCATTTCACAAAATAGATGGCATCATGAGGAAGGAAAATTATGTGGATATATTGAAGAATTTTTACTAGGATTAAATGTCAGGAATTGTGAAAAACTGAGTTTAAATGTATTTGGCTAAGGTGAATGTAAACTTCCGACTTCAACTGTAGGTAACAGGTAACAGTGAGGTAGCAGGTAACAGTTACATAGCAGGTAACAGTGAGGTAACAGGTAACAGTGAGGTAGCAGGTAACAGTTAGTTAGCAGATAAGTTAGGTAACTGCTACCTAACTTACCTGCTAACAATTAGGTAACATGTAACAGTTAGGTAGCAGGTAACAGTTAGGTGGCGGGGAACATTTAGGTAGCAGTTAGGTAACAGATAACAGTAGGTAGAAGGTAACAGTTAGGTAACAGTTAGGTGGCAGTTAGGTAACAGGTAACAGTTAGGTAGCAATTAACAGTTAGGTAGCAGGTACCATTCAGATAGCAGGTAGGTAGCAGGTAACAGGTAGGTAAAAGGTAACAGGTAGGTAAAAGGTAAGAGTTAGTTAAGTTTGGTAGCAGGTGACATTTAGGTAGTCGGTAACGATTATGTAACACTTAACAGTTAGGTAACATGTAACAGTTAGGTAGCAGGTAACAGTTAGGTAGCAGGTAACAGTTAGGTAGCAGGTAACAGGTAGGTAGCAGGGAACATTTAGGTAGCAGGGAACAGGTAGGTAGCAGGTAACATTTAGGTAACAGGTAACAGTTAGGTAACAGGTAACTGTTAGGTAGCAGGTTGAAGTTAGGTAACAGGTAACAGTTAGGTAGAAGGTAACAGTTAGGTAACATGTAACAGTTAGGTAGCAGCTAACAGTTAGGTAGCAGGTAACAGTTAGTTAGCAGATAAGTTAGGTAGCAAGTAAGTTAGGTAGCAGTTAGGTAGCAGGTAACAGGTAATAGTTAGGTAAAATTTAACAGTTAGGTAGCAGGTAACAGTTAGGTAGCAGTTAGGTAACAGTTAGGTAGCAGGTAACAGTTAGGTAGAAGGTAACATTTAGGTAGCAGGTAGGTAACAAGTAACAGTTAGGTAGCAGGTAACAGCTAACAGTTAGGTAACAGTTAGGTAATGGTTAGGTAGCAGGTAACAGTTAGGTAGCAGGTAGTTAGGTAGCAGGTAACAGTTAGGTAAAAGTTAGGTAGCAGTTAACAGTTAGGTACAGTTGGGTAACAGTTAGATAACAGGTAATAGTTAGGTAGCATCGCAGTGCTAACTGTGCCACTAGATCCTGGTTCGAATCCAGGCTCTGTCGCAGCCGGCCGCGACCAGGAGACTCTTGGGCGGCGCTCAATTGGCCCAGCGTCGTCCAGGGTAGGGGAGGGAATGGCCGGCAGGGATGTAGCTCAGTTGATAGAGCATGGCGTTTGCAACGCCAGGGTTATGGGTTCGATTCCCACGGGGGGCCAGTATAAAAAAAAATATGTATTCACTAACTGTAAGTCGCTCTGGATAAGAGCGTCTGCTAAATGACTAAAATGTAAATGTAAAATGTATCAGGTATCAGTTAGGTAACAGGTAACATTTAGGTTGCAGGTAACAGTTAGGTAGCAGGTAACAGTTAGGTTGCAGGTAACAGTTAGGTAGCAGGTAACAGTTAGGTCAGAGTTAGGTAGCAGTGTAACAGTTAAGTAACAGGTAAGTTGGGTAACAGTTAGGAGCAGGTAACAGTTAGGTGTCAGATAACAGTTAGGTAGCAGGTAACAGTTAATACTTAGGCAGGTAGCTTAGTGGTTAAGAGTGTTGTGCCAGTAACTGAAAGGTCGCTGGTTCTAATCCCCGAGCCGAATAGGTGAAAAACCTGTCTGTGCCCTTGAGCAAGGCACTTAACCCTAATTGTTCCTGTAAGTTGCTCTGGATAAGAGCGTCTGCTAAATGACAAAAAAAAACAGGTAACAGTTAGGTAACAGATAACAGTTAGGTAGCAGGTAACAGTTAAATAACAGTTAGGTAACATGTAACAGGTAACAGTTAGGTAATAGCAAAATATTAGGTAGTAGTAAACAGTTAGGTAGCAGTTAACAGTTAGGTAACAGGTAACAGTTAGGTAGCAGGTAACAGGTAACAGTTAGGTTGCAGGTAACAGTTAGGTAGTAGGTAACAGGTAAGTTAGGTATCAGGTAACAGTTAGGTAGCAGGTAACAGTTAGGTAGCAGGTAGAAGGTAACAGTTAGGTTGCAGGTAACAGTTAGGTAACAGGTAACAGTTAGGTAGTAGGTAACAGGTAAGTTAGGTATCAGGTAACAGGTAACAGTTAGGTTGCAGGTAACAGTTAGGTTGCAGGTAACAGTTAGGTAACAGGTAACAGTTAGGTAGTAGGTAACAGGTAACAGTTAGGTAGCAGGTAACAGGTAACAGTTAGGTTGCAGGTAACAGTTAGGTAGTAGGTAACAGGTAAGTTAGGTATCAGGTATCAGTTAGGTAACAGGTAACAGTTAGGTAACAGGTAACAGTTAGGTAACAGGTAACAGTTAGGTAGCAGGTAACAGTTAGGTAGCAGGTAACAGGTAACAGTTAGGTTGCAGGTAACAGTTAGGTAGCAGGTAACAGGTAACAGTTAGGTAACAGGTAACAGTTAGGTTGCAGGTAACAGTTAGGTAGCAGGTAACAGGCAACAGTTAGGTAACAGGTAACAGTTAGGTAACAGGTAACAGTTAGGTAGTAGGTAACAGGTAAGTTAGGTATCAGGTAACAGTTAGGTAGCACCATTACCAGATCTCACAACGCCTGCAGAAGGGTCTGGCACTGTGACAGCAGTTCTGGTATTTTACTTTACATGAAAATGCATCAATTTTTTGCTAATTTATAAAAAGAAAAAAATCGGAAATATCACATTTACATAAGGATTCAGACCCTTTACTCAGTACTTTGTTGAAGCACCTTTGGCAGCAATTACAGCATAGAGTATTCAACAAACACACCACTCGTTCATTCAAATCAATTTACAGTAGGCCTACAAATCCTGTACTCTCAATTGCAGTCAGTTCAGGAATTTAATTGCATTCCTATGGAATGAGTTGTATTGTTCTGTTTGTAGACTGTTGTGCTGTGCTATCTGTTTGTCTGTAGATTGAGTTGTGTTGTTCTGTTTCTGACTGTAAATTGCTCTGGATAAGAGGGTCTGCTAAATTAACAAAATGTAAAATAAAATGTAAAATGGTGTGCTGTGTGTAGTGTAACGTGTATTGTGTTGTCTGTAGACCAGCAGGGTGCGCAGAAGTCTGTGGAAGGTCCTCTGCCTCATCTTCCTCATCGCGCTGGTGATTGGAGTCTCCGTCATTGTGTGTTTAGGTACAGCATTTCCACTTCTATCGTAATGCTCTGGTGTCCTTACCATAGTTCATCGGTGTCTTTACCACAATAGAATAAAATAGAGTGGAATAGAGCAGAGCAGAATGAAATAGAGTGGAATAGAGCAGAGCAGAATGGAATAGAGCAGAGTAGAATGGAATAGAGTGGAATAGAGCAGAGCAGAATGGAATAGAGTAGAGTGGAATAGAGCAGAGCAGAATGGAATAGAGTAGAGTGGAATAGAGCAGAGCAGAATGGAATAGAGTGGAATAGAGCAGAGCAGAATGGAATAGAGCAGAGCAGAATGGAATAGAGTGGAATAGAGCAGAGCAGAATGGAATAGAGTAGAGTGGAATAGAGCAGAGCAGAATGGAATAGAGTAGAGTGGAATAGAGCAGAGCAGAATGGAATAGAGTGGAATAGAGTGGAATAGAGCAGAGTGGAATAGAGCAGAGCAGAATGGAATAGAGCAGAGCATAATGGAATAGAACAGAGCAGAATGGAGTAGAGCAGAGCAGAATGGAATAGAGTGGAATAGAGCAGAGCAGAATGGAATAGAGTGGAATAGAGCAGAGCAGAATGGAATAGAGCAGAGCAGAATGGAATAGAGTGGAATAGAGCAGAATGGAATAGAGCAGAGCAGAATGGAATAGAGTGGAATAGAGCAGAGCAGAATGGAATAGAGCAGAGCAGAATGGAATAGAGTGGAATAGAGCAGAGCAGAATGGAATAGAGCAGAGCAGAATGGAATAGAGCAGAGCAGAGTGGAATAGAGCAGAGCAGAATGGAATAGAGCAGAGCAGAATGGAATAGAGTGGAATAGAGCAGAGCAGAATGGAATAGAGCAGAGCAGAATGGAATAGAGTGGAATAGAGCAGAGCAGAATGGAATAGAGCAGAGCAGAATGGAATAGAGCAGAGCAGAGTGGAATAGAGCAGAGCAGAATGGAATAGAGTGGAATAGAGCAGAGCAGAATGGAATAGAGCAGAGCAGAATGGAATAGAGCAGAGCAGAGTGGAATAGAGCAGAGCAGAATGGAATAGAGCAGAACATAATGGAATAGAGCAGAACAGAATGGAATAGAGCAGAGCAGAGTGGAATAGAGCAGAACAGAATGGAATAGAGCAGAGCAGAATGGAATAGAGCAGAGCAGAGTGGAATAGAGCAGAGCAGAATGGAATAGAGCAGAGCAGAGCAGAATGGAATAGAGCAGAGCAGATTGGAATAGAGCAGAGCAGAATGGAATAGAGTGGAATAGAGCAGAGCAGAATGGAATAGAGCAGAGCAGAATGGAATAGAGCAGAGCAGAGTGGAATAGAGCAGAGCAGAATGGAATAGAGTGGAATAGAGCAGAGCAGAATGGAATAGAGCAGAGCAGAATGGAATAGAGTGGAATAGAGCAGAGCAGAATGGAATAGAGCAGAGCAGAGTGGAATAGAGCAGAGCAGAATGGAATAGAGTGGAATAGAGCAGAGCAGAATGGAATAGAGCAGAGCAGAATGGAATAGAGCAGAGCAGAATGGAATAGAGCAGAGCAGAATGGAGTAGAGCAGGGCAGAATGGAATAGAGTGGAATAGAGCAGAGCAGAATGGAATAGAGTGGAATAGAGCAGAGCAGAATGGAGTAGAGTGGAATAGAGCAGAATGGAATAGAGCAGAGCAGAATGGAATAGAGCAGAGCAGAATGGAATAGAGCAGAGCAGAATGGAATAGAGCAGAGCAGAATGGAGTAGAGCAGAGCAGAATGGAATAGAGTGGAATAGAGCAGAGCAGAATGGAATAGAGTAGAGTGGAATAGAGCAGAGCAGAATGGAATAGAGTGGAATAGAGCAGAGCAGAATGGAATAGAGTAGAGTGGAATAGAGCAGAGCAGAATGGAATAGAGTGGAATAGAGCAGATCAGAATGGAATAGAGCAGAGCAGAATGGAATAGAGTGGAATAGAGCAGAGCAGAATGGAATAGAGCAGAGCAGAATGGAATAGAGTGGAATAGAGCAGAGCAGAATGGAATAGAGCAGAGCAGAATGGAATAGAGCAGAGCAGAGTGGAATAGAGCAGAGCAGAATGGAATAGAGTGGAATAGAGCAGAGCAGAATGGAATAGAGCAGAGCAGAATGGAATAGAGCAGAGCAGAATGGAATAGAGTGGAATAGAGCAGAGCAGAATGGAATAGAGTGGAATAGAGCAGAACAGAATGGAATAGAGCAGAACAGAATGGAATAGAGCAGAGCAGAATGGAATAGAGCAGAGCAGAATGGAATAGAGCAGAGCAGAATGGAATAGAGTGGAATAGAGCAGAGCAGAATGGAATAGAGTGGAATAGAGCAGAACAGAATGGAATAGAGCAGAACAGAATGGAATAGAGCAGAGCAGAATGGAATAGAGCAGAGCAGAATGGAATAGAGCAGAGCAGAATGGAATAGAGCAGAGCAGAGTGGAATAGATTGGAATAGAGCAGAACAGAATGGAATAGAGTGGAATAGAGCAGAGCAGAATGGAATAGAGTGGAATAGAGCAGAGCAGAATGGAATAGAGCAGAACAGAATGGAATAGAGCAGAGCAGAATGGAATAGAGCAGAGCAGAATGGAATAGAGCAGAGCAGAGTGGAATAGAGCAGAGCAGAATGGAATAGAGTGGAATAGAGCAGAGCAGAATGGAATAGAGCAGAGCAGAATGGAATAGAGCAGAGCAGAATGGAATAGAGTGGAATAGAGCAGAGCAGAATGGAATAGAGCAGAGCAGAGTGGAATAGAGCAGAGCAGAATGGAATAGAGCAGAGCAGAGTGGAATAGAGCAGAGCAGAATGGAATAGAGTGGAATAGAGCAGAGCAGAATGGAATAGAGCAGAGCAGAATGGAATAGAGCAGAGCAGAATGGAATAGAGTAGAGCAGAGTGGAATAGAGCAGAGCAGAATGGAATAGAGTGGAATAGAGCAGAGCAGAATGGAATAGAGCAGAGCAGAATGGAATAGAGTGGAATAGAGCAGAGCAGAATGGAATAGAGCAGAGCAGAGTGGAATAGAGCAGAGCAGAATGGAATAGAGTGGAATAGAGCAGAGCAGAATGGAATAGAGCAGAGCAGAATGGAGTAGAGCAGAGCAGAATGGAATAGAGTGGAATAGAGCAGAGCAGAATGGAATAGAGTGGAATAGAGCAGAGCAGAATGGAGTATAGTGGAATAGAGCAGAGCAGAATGGAATAGAGCAGAGCAGAATGGAATAGAGCAGAGCAGAATGGAATAGAGCAGAGCAGAATGGAGTAGAGCAGAGCAGAATGGAATAGAGTGGAATAGAGCAGAGCAGAGTGGAATAGAGCAGAGCAGAATGGAATAGAGTAGAGTGGAATAGAGCAGAGCAGAATGGAATAGAGTGGAATAGAGCAGAGCAGAATGGAATAGAGCAGAGCAGAATGGAATAGAGCAGAGCAGAATGGAATAGAGCAGAGCAGAATGGAATAGAGTGGAATAGAGCAGAGCAGAGTGGAATAGAGCAGAGCAGAATGGAATAGAGTGGAATAGAGCAGAGCAGAATGGAATAGAGTGGAATAGAGCAGAGCAGAATGGAATAGAGCAGAGCAGAATGGAATAGAGTGGAATAGAGCAGAGCAGAATGGAATAGAGCAGAGCAGAATGGAATAGAGCAGAGCAGAGTGGAATAGAGCAGAGCAGAATGGAATAGAGTGGAATAGAGCAGAGCAGAATGGAATAGAGTGGAATAGAGCAGAGCAGAATGGAATAGAGTGGAATAGAGCAGAGCAGAATGGAATAGAACAGAGCAGAATGGAATAGAGTGGAATAGAGCAGAGCAGAGTGGAATAGAGCAGAGCAGAATGGAATAGAGTGGAATAGAGCAGAGCAGAATGGAATAGAGCAGAGCAGAATGGAATAGAGCAGAGCAGAATGGAATAGAGTGGAATAGAGCAGAATGGAATAGAGCAGAGCAGAGCAGAATGGAATAGAGTGGAATAGAGCAGAGCAGAATGGAATAGAGCAGAGCAGAATGGAATAGAGCAGAGCAGAATGGAATAGAGTGGAATAGAGCAGAGCAGAATGGAATAGAGCAGAACAGAATGGAATAGAGCAGAGCAGAATGGAATAGAGCAGAGCAGAATGGAATAGAGCAGAGCAGAATGGAATAGAGCAGAGGAGAGTGGAATAGAGTGGAATAGAGCAGAACAGAATGGAATAGAGTGGAATAGAGCAGAGCAGAATGGAATAGAGCAGAGCAGAATGGAATAGAGCAGAGCAGAGTGGAATAGAGCAGAGCAGAATGGAATAGAGCAGAGCAGAATGGAATAGAGCAGAGCAGAATGGAATAGAGCAGAGCGGAATAGAGTGGAATAGAGCAGAATGGAATAGAGTGGAATAGAATAGGAGAGAATAAAATAGATTAGAATATAATTTTCTTGATCACAGTATGGAAATGTGCCTTAGACGTGTTCAGATGTAATGCATATGGATAAATATAACATTAGAGTTGTAGATGACGTGTTATCTGTCTGGTTCTGACCTGTCTGGTTCTGACCTGTCTGGCTCTGACCTGTCTGGCTCTGACCTGTCTGGTTCTGACCTGTCTGGCTCTGACCTGTCTGGCTCTGACCTGTCTGGTTCTGACCTGTCTGGTTCTGACCTGTCTGGTTCTGACGCTGTCTGGTTCTGACCTGTCTGGCTCTGACCTGTCTGGTTCTGACCTGTCTGGTTCTGACCTGTCTGGTTCTGACCTGTCTGGTTCTGACGCTGTCTGGTTCTGACCTGTCTGGCTCTGACCTGTCTGGCTCTGACCTGTCTGGTTCTGACCTGTCTGGTTCTGACGCTGTCTGGTTCTGACCTGTCTGGCTCTGACCTGTCTGGCTCTGACCTGTCTGGTTCTGACCTGTCTGGTTCTGACCTGTCTGGTTCTGACCTGTCTGGCTCTGACCTGTCTGGTTCTGACGCTGTCTGGCTCTCCTTCTCTCTGGGTGAACAGTGATCCATGACGCTGTTTGGCTCTCCTTCTCTCTGGGTGAACAGTGATCCATGACGCTGTCTGGCTCTCCTTCTCTCTGGTTGAACAGTGATCCATGACGCTGTCTGGCTCTCCTTCTCTCTGGGTGAACAGTGATCCATGACGCTGTCTGGCTCTCCTTCTCTCTGGGTGAACAGTGATCCATGACGCTGTCTGGCTCTCCTTCTCTCTGGGTGAACAGTGATCCATGACGCTGTCTGGCTCTCCTTCTCTCTGGTTGAACAGTGATCCATGACGCTGTTTGGCTCTCCTTCTCTCTGGGTGAACAGTGATCCATGACGCTGTCTGGCTCTCCTTCTCTCTGGGTGAACAGTGATCCATGACGCTGTCTGGCTCTCCTTCTCTCTGGTTAAACAGTGATCCATGACGCTGTCTGGCTCTCCTTCTCTCTGGGTGAACAGTGATCCATGACGCTGTCTGGCTCTCCTTCTCTCTGGGTGAACAGTGATCCATGACACTGTTTGGCTCTCCTTCTCTCTGGTTGAACAGTGATCCATGACACTGTTTGGCTCTCCTTCTCTCTGGGTGAACAGTGATCCATGACACTGTCTGGCTCTCCTTCTCTCTGGGTGAACAGTGATCCATGACGCTGTCTGGCTCTCCTTCTCTCTGGTTGAACAGTGATCCATGACGCTGTCTGGCTCTCCTTCTCTCTGGTTGAACAGTGATCCATGACGCTGTCTGGCTCTCCTTCTCTCTGGTTGAACAGTGATCCATGACACTGTCTGGCTCTCCATCTCTCTGGTTGAACAGTGATCCAAGATGACGTGGATGAGAAGTACGATCCAGCCTTGTTCAAGCTGCCGCGACATTTCAACGGAAGCTTCAGACTGACCAATCAGATATTCACACCAGAGCTGCTATCCCCAGCGTCCAATCAGAGTAAGGCCCTGTCCAGCCAACTAAAAGAGAAGGTACCTCGCATTTATGACTTTCAGGAATGTCAAAATCTCACTGTAAGCCTATTTATGACCTTCAACTCAACAGGAATGCATGTTTGAAGCATGCTTGTTTAATAACAAGTGTGTTACTACAACATATCATCTGGCTGTGAATTCTATGGAAGAGTATTAGGGCCAAGTGAAGAGAAAAACAAAATGGCGACAGGTGGTTGTACTTGGATTTTATTTATTATTTAGAGAATAAAGTCAACATTTTTAGAATAAAGTCACAGTTATAGCCTATTTCAACATATCTCCCTGGCTCCCTGTTTCTGTGTGCGTCACTGTTGAAATGCCAGAGTTAGAAGACCTGGAAAAACTATACTTTAGAATTGGCTTCAGTAACAAGGAAGTCCTCTCTCTTTTAACACGTAATAACCATATTATTATAAGTAGGCCTATTAGGACCTGGAAGAGGTTGTGCCACAGATTATTTTCAGAATGAGGAACCACACAGACTCGGATGACGTATTTCATCCAAGTCTGTGTGGTTACGTAGATAGGTAGAGACAGGTGGGTCGGTGCCGTTTAAGATGAGGGAGGATGAATCATTATTTTTATTTTTATTTTTATGAACATGGCACTTATTTCTATTACAGCATATTGGATGACTGTCATCCATATTCCATTCACCCAGCTCAATGTAGCATCGATAGGTTTAGGCTACTACATGATACTCAAATCTTCCCTGTACCCATCATGAGGTTGCTACAACCTAGCCTACGAATTAAAGTTTACAACGTAGGTGCACACAGGTTGAGAGAATTTTGAGTAATCAAAGTGACAGACCGTGACACGTTCAATACCGCCTTGCACACTCTTGCCTGCATCTAGCTGATCTAGGGTGTAATCAAACAAAAGTTTCCTATTCGACAAATTCAGGTTTGTTTATCCCCGTTTCATTCCGTTTGCCTCCGTTTAAGAATAGTTTTTCAACAGAATCGCCGCAATGAATACACCCCTGATCAGACGCAAACACAGTTCACTTTCATAGCAGCCACGTTGTATATATACAGTGGGGAAAAAAAGTATTTAGTCAGCCACCAATTGTGCAAGTTCTCCCACTTAAAAAGATGAGAGAGGCCTGTAATTTTCATCATAGGTACACGTCAACTATGACAGACAAAATGAGATTTTTTTTCTTCCAGAAAATCACATTGTAGGATTTTTAATGAATTTATTTGCAAATTATGGTGGAAAATAAGTATTTGGTCACCTACAAACAAGCAAGATTTCTGGCTCTCACAGACCTGTAACTTATTCTTTAAGAGGCTCCTCTGTCCTCCACTCGTTACCTGTATTAATGGCACCTGTTTGAACTTGTTATCAGTATAAAAGACACCTGTCCACAACCTCAAACAGTCACACTCCAAACTCCACTATGGCCAAGACCAAAGAGCTGTCAAAGGACACCAGAAACAAAATTGTAGACCTGCACCAGGCTGGGAAGACTGAATCTGCAATAGGTAAGCAGCTTGCTTTGAAGAAATCAACTGTGGGAGCAATTATTAGGAAATGGAAGACATACAAGACCACTGATAATCTCCCTCGATCTGGGGCTCCACGCAAGATCTCACCCCGTGGGGTCAAAATGATCACAAGAACGGTGAGCAAAAATCCCAGAACCACACGGGGGGACCTAGTGAATGACCTGCAGAGAGCTGGGACCAAAGTAACAAAGCCTACCATCAGTAACACACTACGCCGCCAGGGACTCAAATCCTGCAGTGCCAGATGTGTCCCCCTGCTTAAGCCAGTACATGTCCAGGCCCGTCTGAAGTTTGCTAGAGTGCATTTGGATGATCCAGAAGAGGATTGGGAGAATGTCATATGGTCAGATGAAACCAAAATAGAACTTTTTGGTAAAAACTCAACTCGTCGTGTTTGGAGGACAAAGAATGCTGAGTTGCATCCAAAGAACACCATACCTACTGTGAAGCATAGGGGTGGAAACATCATGCTTTGGGGCTGTTTTTCTGCAAAGGGACCAGGACGACTGATCTGTGTAAAGGAAAGAATGAATGGGGCCATGTATCGTGAGATTTTGAGTGAAAACCTCCTTCCATCAGCAAGGGCATTGAAGATGAAACGTGGCTGGGTCTTTCAGCATGACAATGATCCCAAACACACCGCCCGGGCAACGAAGGAGTGGCTTCGTAAGAAGCATTTCAAGGTCCTGGAGTGGCCTAGCCAGTCTCCAGATCTCAACCCCATAGAAAATCTTTGGAGGGAGTTGAAAGTCCGTGTTGCCCAGCGACAGCCCCAAAACATCACTGCTCTAGAGGAGATCTGCATGGAGGAATGGGCCAAAATACCAGCAACAGTGTGTGAAAACCTTGTGAAGACTTACAGAAAACGTTTGACCTGTGTCATTGCCAACAAAGGGTATATAACAAAGTATTGAGAAACTTTTGTTATTGACCAAATACTTATTTTCCACCATAATTTGCAAATAAATTCATAAAAAATCCTACAATGTGATTTTCTGGATTTTTTTTCCTCATTTTGTCTGTCATAGTTGACGTGTAGCTATGATGAAAATTACAAGCCTCTCTCATCTTTTTAAGTGGGAGAACTTCCACAATTGGTGGCTGACTAAATACTTTTTTCCCCCACTGTAATTCCTTCTCGCGCCTATCTACTTCGCGCTCTCCTCCTCTCACCTTTTAACCTTCACCTGTGGACTTCAGTGCACAACACATTAGCTGCTTGTGACTAGGCGAAAACACCTGTCCAAGCAAAACCTTCATATTATTACCGCTAACCGCTACACACAGCCTACATCGTTGTAACGTCATAGTCAACATAGCTACTAGAACTAACGTGTTAGTAAACCCACTACAATCATGCAATATAGTGTACAGCAAGCAGTTTAGCAGTTAAGCAGTTACACCTGGCGAGCCTCAGTAGAAATAAATTAATAAAACCAAAAGCTTACCTTGACTTACATTTACATTTACATTTTAGTCATTTAGCAGACGCTCTTATCCAGAGCGACTTACAGGAGACTTGGAAGAGTTCCAGTGTCGGATAGCCATAGCCAGCTAGCTAATATAGCACCCCTCTCTGTTTGAGCTGCATTTGATGCTAGCTAAGGAAGTGGGGGAAAAATACTATGAAATATAGCTGTCTCTCTCTCTCTTGCTTCACCTTAATTTTGGAAGAAATGTATTTGTTAAAAACTGTTCAACTATTGTCTTTCTCTCTCTTTGAGTCAACTACTCACCACATTTTATACACTGCAGTGCTAGCTAGCTGTAGCTTATGCTTTCAGTTCTAGATTCATTCTCTGATCCTTTGATTGGGTGGACAACATGTCAGTTCATGCTGCAAGAGCCCTGATAGATTGGAGGATGTCCTCCGGAAGTTGTGGGAATTACTGTGTAAGTCTATGAAAGGGGGTGAGAACCATGAGCCTCCTAGGTTTTGTATTGAAGTCAATGTACCCAGAGGAGGACGGAAGCTAGCTGTCCTCCGGCTACACCATGGTGCTACCCTACAGAGTGCTGCTGAGGCTACTGTAGACCTTCATTGCAAAACAGTGTGTTTTAATCAATTATTTGGTGACGTGAATATATTTATTATAGATGTATCTAAAAAGGATAACTTTTTAAATGTTTCACTATTTTTATTTTTATGAAATTCACTGAGGAGGATGGTCCTCCCCTTCCTCCTCTGAGGAGCCTCCACTGCAGGTGTGTATGCAGGTGTGTGTCGGGGGTCTAATACACTCATTCAAACAGGCGTCACACACACACACACATTTTACCATTTGTGTTTTGAGGTTGGACTTTAGCACGTATAGCACTTTAGCACGTAGGGCGCATCGATTGGTAGTCAGTATGTGTTACACCTGTGCTGGTTGCGATCTCATTAGTGGGAAGGTGTTTCACCTGTGCTGGCCCAGGTGATATTTAAGAGTGGCTGGCCCAGGTGCTATTTAAGAGTGGCTGGCCCAGGTGATATTTAAGAGTGGCTGGCCCAGGTGCTATTTAAGAGTGGCTGGCCCAGGTGATATTTAAGAGTGGCTGGCCCAGGTGATATTTAAGAGTGGCTGGCCCAGGTGATATTTAAGAGTGGCTGGCCCAGGTGATATTTAAGAGTGGCTGGCCCAGGTGCTATTTAAGAGTGGCTGGCCCAGGTGATATTTAAGAGTGGCTGGCCCAGGTGATATTTAAGAGTGGCTGGCCCAGGTGATATTTAAGAGTGGCTGGCCCAGGTGATATTTAAGAGTGGCTGGCCCAGGTGATATTTAAGAGTGGCTGGCCCAGGTGATATTTAAGAGTGGCTGGCCCAGGTGATATTTAAGAGTGGCTGGCCCAGGTGATATTTAAGAGTGGCTGGCCCAGGTGATATTTAAGAGTGGCTGGCCCAGGTGATATTTAAGAGTGGCTGGCCCAGTGCTCCAGTTGTCTTGATAGATGTGGAGCGTTAACACCTTTAGTTGTCTCTCCCTATTTGACTTCTAGAAAAACATTTATTTATCTGATCTTCCCTGTTTTCATTTTGCTCCACTTTGTCATGGTGCCTTTCCAATTTGCTACAATGTCCTCACTGTGCGTAACAGCTAGGCCTTGGGCTGAATCTCCAAAATGCAAATTCTAGCTCTGGTGCATCCTTCAAACATACATGGGCTGAATGTTCTTAATGCTAATGCTAGTGCTGGTGCCTCCTTCAAACATACAGTGACTTGCAAAAGTATTCATCCCCCTTGGCGTTTTTCCTATTTTGTTGCATTACAACCTGTAATTTAAATGGATTTCTATTTGGATTTCATGTTAATGGACATAGACAAAATAGTCCAAATTGGTGAAGTGAAATGAAAAAAAGAACTTGTTTCAAAAAAATTCTAAAAAATAAATAATGGAAAAGTGGTGCGTGCATATGTATTCACCCCCTTTGCTATGAAGCCCTTAAATAAGATCTGGTGCAACCAATTACCTTCAGAAGTCACATAATTAGTTAAATAAAGT